GTTTTTCCTTTCAAATGAGCTGTGCATCTTTTACAGCCCTTATAGCCACCGAGCTGGTGTGTCTTTCTACATACACATATTTCTCTATAACTTCTTAACAACAACACACAACGCTTGCTAACGTTCCAATTAAAACCTCTTTATTACATTTCACATATTACACACAACACAACATTGATTTTTACACCTTCACAAGACACAACACTTTTGCCCCCTTCCACCAAATGCAGCAACCGCTAACTCTTTCCACCCCCCCAACTGCATTTGACGCCAGCACTCTGTCCTCCACGCTGCTTTGCTGCGACGCCCCTCCGACCACCGCAAAACATCACTTGGCCGACTTGACAGACACCGTTCTCCCGCTGATGCCAATCGACTGGTTCTTCTTCTCTCTGTGAAAACACTCACCTGCATACACTCGCTCTGCACATCCCTCCCGTCTGCTGCTTCTTCCTCCTCCTCCACCAAAACCTACCTCTAAGTGGTTCACGCGTCCTCAGCCACTTGTCACCCCTGTCTCCACCGCTGTAAGCGTCCATCACTTCCTCCCCATACGTGTGGAGCTGCTCGTACTGCTTTTGTCTAAACAGGTCCAAGGCCGTTAGAGCCCTTCTACCTCTTTCTTATTGCATGAGCCCAGTCAGAAGGCTGGAAATAGCGTTTTTCACAGCTTCCATTACAATACGACCTCCCACACATCCATTGATACAAATAAAACAGTTTCTTTTCTTATTAAGCACCACACAACAACCAACACTGCTTTGCTTTTATTACACTCCGTCCTCCACGCTGCTCCTCCACGCTGCTCCTCCACGCTGCTCGTCCACGCTGCTCCTCCACGCTGCTCGTCCACATTGCTCCTCCACGCTGCTCATCCACGCTGCTCCTCCACGCTGCTCCTCCACGCTGCTCGTCCACGTTGCTCCTCCACGTTGCTCCTCCACGCTCCCCCTCCACGTTGCTCCTCCACGCTGCGCCGCTCCTCCACGCTGCGCCGCCCCTCCGAGCGCCTCGGGGGAACACTGTGTCTGCCAAGTTGGCACGCACCGTCTTTCCCGAACCCCACTCTCCGCTGCTGAATATGGACTTCTTCTTCTGCTCTCTCTGTGAAAACACAAAACACGTGTCAACAACACTCACTCTGCTGCTTCTCCCTCCTCCTCCTCCACCAATACCTACCTCTAAGTGCTGGAGGCGTCCTCGGCCACTTGTGAGGATGTGACGATCCATGTGTACACACATTTCACTCCCCTCCCATACACCCTTTCAACTCCACTACCTCCGACAACTCCAAACCTTTACAAACAACCTGAACAACACTATTTCTCCTGTACTAACACCTCTACCACTTTCACTGCCACAACAGAGCACTCATTACAAGCTCCTTCCTCACCTTCAGCAGAACACATGACTACTTCACTTTCTGCTGTGTCTATCACAACCACACACACCTTTCCAGTCCTTTACCTACATTTCCTATAAACACCTAAACTCACGCCCCACCTTCACCACCACTCTACTCACAACTACACTTTTACTACACCGACCCAATCTGCACTACTTCTACTTACACATCAGCCTCTTTAAAAACACACTCCCATTTCACTATCACTCACTTACAACCTGACCCTCAAAGGACAAACTGCACATTCCACCAACGCCACAAACGCTCCACCCCTACATTACACATCCTGGAGCCACACAACAATGAGCCTTGTGCTTCTACATAACCTACATGACCACCTTAATCCAACAACAACCCTCTCTGACACCATTCCTCACTCTACTTACCAACCTCACATGCTTCTCACCTCAAACACAGCCCAATACACACTTTCTATCTTCACTTTCTCCACCGCTACCACATCTCCACAACACCACCCACACTCACATCAAAACCTCTAGCACCACTAAACACACCACTCCATTAACACCTAGCACATGCATCAACACAACGACTCCTTTCACACACCTTCACTTGCTCA